AGCAGCTTCAACGCCTTGTTGGAGATTTGATCCTCCCCAGGTGCTTTACGCACCTTGAGGTCTTTAATATGACTTAGTAACTCCGCTGGTGCGCAATGTGGAAACTCGGAGGGTTCCGCTAATGTGCTATGTGGAGCCTCAGACGAATCTTCTGAAGAAGAGTCATCTGAAGAGGAGTCAGTGCCTCCGCTAACGCCGTTGGCCCTAAAATATCTCCTGACGAATCGTACGATGTGCTCGTCGAGGTCATTATCGAGATCATAGTTGGGAGAGAACTGTTTTTCCATGGCATCAGCGAAAACCTCGACCTTATCCTCCGTTCTGAAGACTATGCCTTCAGGACCGTGGATGTGTTGGAGTTGTTCTCGCTTTCCGTTTCTGAGTGACTTTGCAACCCTCCAGAGAGGAATACTAGAATCAAGCATTCCCGCCAGAAAGTCGCTCCATTGCTCGTTGCGGAGTTAGTGCAGTGCGTTTCTCACTTCATGGACAAGATTTGTAGCCCTACGAATGTTATCAGGATGACAAGACCGTTTTGCCTGCTTAATAGCGGCTCTTTTGTCAGAGATCTTCTGATGAATGTCCGCAGGCAAAAAAGGTCTGCCATGTCGTTATACAGGAAATACAGCTGCACGCTGTAGAGCTGCTTGAATGAAACTTGTCCACTCCGCTTGAGCGGCATCTATTCCAGACTCATCATCTATAATCGGGATGTTGGGAAACTCTCTAAGGAGCAACTTGTATAGCTCCCAATCAATGCGTTTCCTTGGAGGAGCTGCCTCCTCAGAAGTTTGCTCATTGCCCACATCCAAGACAACAGGTAGATGGTCACTAGAGATATCATACAAGATTCGAGAAGAGATACTGTATCTACAGTTTTTAGATATCGCGAAATCGATGACATCTGGTGCCTGAAGATGGTTGAATGGATGATGTGTCGGCTCTTCAGTGCTATGTATAAGGTACCCATTTCGCATCACATGGTTGTACAATCGAACCCCACTAGTGGAATTCAACCTAGAATTCCATGCTCGATGTTTGCAGTTGAAGTCCCCTGCCACAATAAGCGGACCCGAGTAGTCCAAAAGGACTTCCAGATCCGCCTCTTGTAGCCTGGCACCACACATACACCGATGTGATCTTCAACGAGACACCTCCCGCCATATTGACCACCACAGAAGCTGCTTCGATGCTATGCATCTCCGCATTAGTGCTTCTATAATAGTCTATACCGCGCTTAATCAACACTGCTAAACCGCCGCCTCGACCATTCAATCTGTCACCTCGGATAATATGATAATTCGGGAGAGCTAAACGATCTCCCGGATCAAGCAACGTCTCCTGCAGCAAGGCCACATCTATACCTTCATTCAAAAGAGCTTGATGAAATTCCCGTTTTTTGGGAATATCCCTCATGCCCAAACAATTCCAAAAAAGAATTTTGATGAATGCAGGCTGTCTACTATTGTACCTAGACATTTACAGGAAATATCGCCTGCAACGCTTGGGTAGCGCTAATCAGTGGGCTTATTATTTGTTGTAAGGACCTTAGCGCGGTTGCCAGGTCCACATTTTGCGTGCTCAAGGGAGGTTGGGCAGAGGGGGCAGGCAAGGTTGCCTCCCGAGCTGCGTCCGCGTATGATATATTGCGCCTTTGCGCTATAACTTGCACGTTCCTCCTTGGAGTGAATTTGCAAGTCCGGCTATTTGCGGGATGTCCCTCTCCACAGTTCGCCCACTTGCGTTCTTCCTCTTCTGTGAGGGGGCACACACAAATGCGTCATGTGGTCATTTGCACATTTTAAGCATTTGGGCGGTGCAGTGTAATATGACTGCGCATGCCCATACTTTTGGCAGCGGTGACACTGCCCAATGAGTCTGGAGTTTGTCTGAACCTCAACTCGAATGGCCAGTCCCAGCAGTTCGTGTTCGTTGAACACTTGCTGAGACTTTTCAGTCTTGGGCAGTATCACGACCACCAAAGGCATGCGCGCGCCGCCGCTGCGCTTCAATCGAATGATGTGAAGAGGGCTATATCCCCTCTGCTCCAGTTCTTCCTTAATCTCAGTATCCGAAAAGTTGACGGGAACTCCTTGAACCACCGCATGGATGTTCCGTTCCGAAGGGAGAGGAAAAGTGTGATGGGGCACTTCTTCCTCTCGGAATAGGCGAACGATCTTACGGTAGTCGTCTTCGGATTTAGGAATAATCCTTATTCCCGCATCAACGGCAACCGCGCGATCTATTTTAATACCTAGGGAAATAAACTTGAAATTTAAAGTACGCCATCTCGTCCCGTCGCGTAAGACGATCGGGGTTATGCGCCCTTGTAGTGAGGGTCGTGTTGATGCCACGACGGTTGGACGAGATGACGGAGGAGAAGTAACATCGGCTGACGGAGTCACCTGACAGGTAGATAACGTGGTCCCTGGCTTGGTAGTAGAAGCATTAATAGTGGTTCGATTTGATGAATTGGGGGAGGTGTGAAATGGAATTGATCCTGTATTCGGAAGAGGAGGAAAGTCTTGGGTTGATCGATCAGCCTTGTCGCCTTTCCTCCTCCTTGATTTTGCTGTTACAAATCCTTCGGTCTGTACGTCTTCGTCTGTGGATGTGAGATGATCATCAGTAACGTTTCTCAGTGGTCTTTTTAGGGTCTTTGTCTGTTCTTTAGGGGGTTTTTTTGAATTTAGTAATATGGTTACCTGGGCGGTCAGGCTGTCAATTTTTGCTGTCTGGTCCTTGATGGTCTCCATTAGGTCTCGAATCTGTCTCGCCTGGTCGTCTATAATCAGCATCAGTTTTTCGTTCGTTTTCTGCTCCGATGGCATCTGCGTCAGTGAGCTCATGTTTTCTGATTCTGCTTGGTTTCCGCCACCGCTCAGCTCTTTCCTCATAGTATGTGGAACTGCATCGTCTGTTGATCCTCCTGGGTCAACTTCCATCTTTTAAAAAGTTTTTCTCGCCAACAAATCTCTGAAAACTTATAGCTCGCAAATGTGACAATCTTGTCAAAAACGTCGTTGGAGGCATATCAAATCTGTTATCAACAAATACAGTATTCTTGAAAACTATACAAGATACAATGCTGAATCTTTAAGTAATGTATTAGCGACTAATAACGAGCATCATGCCTAATTTTTAAGACGGTCAGTTCACTACAATTGGTTGATACTTGTCTACTGTTTTTTTCGTTTTCTCGAGTTTACTTTCTAACATTTGAACTCACAGTTGTTCTAATTGAATGAGATTTCGAAAACAAACTTATACTATATTAATACTTTTAGAAAAAAGTCTAGGGAATTATATATCGTTGTAAAGAAACTGGATTACGTGACTTACTTATTTAACAGAGTCATGCAGTCATTAATAACGCAACCAACAATTGTCTCTTTAGTTTGCATGCCAACCTTATAAAGAATGCAGCGCATTTCAGAATAGAATATTTTTTTTAATAAACTTTGAGGTTCATCTGAGACTGTGTAAAAATTTCAGCTGTAAATATGTATACACAAGAGTACGAAGAAATCTTGAAAAAAAAATTGTTTTCTTCATAACAACAGGTGAGACACATCCGGTTTGTTTTAAAATGTGTATAGTAACGTATGTTTCTCGAATATCGTTGCGAATCTGTTCAGTTACTCACATATAAAAAATGTTTGAATTTGTTTAGAAGCAAAAAACATAACCCTTCGTTTTTCGCATAAAAATAACAATTATCTTTCGGAATGGTTTCTGATTCAAGACGGCAAGGTGAATTCCTGTATTTTGCTATAAAATGCCATTTGAACAAACCCTATATATGGCTCAGTAAACTAGTACTAGTGATGGCCGGAAAACAGGTGTTTTGGGATGAACAATTAGATATTCTCAAAAACCACTTGACCAATCGACTCCAATTTTGTTGTAGTTACTTATATGTATGAAGCCTACGGATTTGAAAAATTTGAAGTACCTGCGTAAAATTATTGTCGCATTAGCAACAAGTACCAAAACCTGTTTTCATTCAAGGTTCTGGATGAAAGGATCCTCCTTCGCCTTACTTCCTGCAATAAATTTATTTCGGCTCGACCTCGTATTTTCTTGGATTACCTCCTCCATGCAATTAAGACGTTTCCCCGCTATCCTGATATCTACGCTTTAAACGGTATATTGAGTACCGATCAACATTATAAATTAAAGCTACATCATTCACTAAACGACCTTCTCCCAATAATCTTATACAATTCTCACGTTCTTTTTGAAAAAGACGAGGCATTTTTGAGAAAATGAAATTATACTGTCAAGTTTACAGTCAATATTATTGTTACTTAGCAATTGCAAATTTGACGTGTAGGTAGTTAAGATGAAGCCGGAGAAATGTTCTATTTGCATTTATTGCGGGAAATTAAAAATTCGATAATTTGAGTTTTAGGCAACCTTCGAAAAATTGGAGGATACTCCAAAGGTCAAAAAGATGCACAGAAAATTTTCCAAGATCAAAAATCGAGAATCTGACATAGCCCCAAGCTTTGCTAAAAAGACCTGTCTTCCTTTGCTCACCCTGTATAAGTGGACAAACAAAAGAAATATACCGATCTCAGAGTTGGTCAAACACCTCCCGAATACCGCAACTCGATATCTCTTTCTGTTCCGAAAATGTCGAGATTCGAATTTGAGTAAAATTTTCCATGTTGCACAGCAACTGTCCATAAGTTTGCATATTTTGATAGCACAACAAACACTGCATTTTGGTCTATCTTGACCTGTGATTGAAGGGGTTTCAGGAACCTGGGCCTTACATTCCTGTTGGGGAAAATTGAAGAGCAGGAGGTTACTGCCATTTTTTTAACTTGTTTGATTTTTGGACAGTTGGATCACCATGTTAAATATAGAATAGACTGGATTTCAAAATCATTCTTCTTGATTTCATCTATACATCTTTCTATATCTGTTGCATCTATATCTGATACTGATTGCTGCAAATTAAAAAATTGAAGTTGTAATTTCTTTATATACAGGCGTCAATACTTTAGAAAACCATGCTAAACTAATTGTGGCAAAACTGGAACAAGACCCTAACTTGATAGAAGACTTACCAGAATCAGAAGAACTAAGAAAGTGAGTTTTAAATGTAGACATAAGACATATTACGCTGGCTAAAAATACACTGATTTCTCATAAAGTTCGAAAAATTCTGTATGAAGTTGAACAGACTTGCTTTTTAAAATTACTTATTTGGCTATAAATAATTTCAGTAACATTGTTTCATTATTATTATTATCATTATTATTATTATCATTATTATTATTATTATTACTAATCAGGAATTCTATATCATGGCAAATTTCATGTTATCGTTTGTTTGTAGTAATTTGCAACAGTTGGTAACAATCCTTCTTTGAAAATCGTAGAACTTTACCTTTGGTTTTTTACTCTTTACCACATGCAAATCCAGAATAACTAACATGCATATAGCTGCCAGCGCTATCAAACACATTTTTGTGATTAAAATTATCATGTGGATATGGATATAAAAATATACTAAAGTACTTTCTAGTATTTTACCAGTATTAAAAATATCCTTGTCTCAGGATATAGAAGATAAGCATTCAATATGGTTTATATATTTTGCTTTTTCACCTTTCACAACTAGGGAGGCTTTGAGGGATATGCCACAATGCCTCACATTGAAAAGATGTGTAAGAGAAAAATTATCCAGAACAGTTAGCAGGAAATCAAAAAGAAAACCTATTAGCTGTTGGAAGAGGTTGAGATATAGGGGTGATATGTATATCAGCAAGGTAGGGCCAGCTGTTAATCAGTACTCAAAATGGTACTATTATGGGATCTTAATCTATAGTTCAATTGAATGTTTCGTTTTTTATGTTATAAACTTTTATTTTTGTACTTACTCCTTATGTTGAATCACATTTCTTACTATAATAATCTTTCAAAGGATTCCTTGTCGCTGAAATTTATCAAATGTAGTGATATAGATATCGTTCATCTGACCACAGACAGCTGCTTTATGCTATTTAGCAACTTGGCATCAACATGTTCTAGACTTGGTCTCAGGTAGCAAACCTGATTTGAGCATTTGCCAATGACAAAGGCTCCATTGCTTTTAATATTGCTAATAATAGAATTAACAGGCAAACTTTACTGCCAGTGTATATTATGAAGACGAATGTTAAAACATAACCTTTATTTTGCTTCAGTTCAAAAATAAAATAAAAGACCTGCCATACACATTTGAGTTATGGTATGATGCTCTAAAGAAAATAGAAGGCAACTTTGGCTCTGGAGTTGGATCTTTTTTCAAATTTCTGAGATGGATGTTCATATTGAACTTTGTGATATCAATAATTAGTGTTGCATTTATTGTTGTACCACAAATTACTTACAATGAAGATAACAATGCTACTAAGGGAGATTTTCATTGGCATGATATCTTCACTGGAGAGGTAAGTATTGTCCAAAAATATGTTTGAAGCTATTTGAGTAAAAATGAGTATTTCTCTATGTCTACAATTCTTGTAGAAACGTAATTTGACTATAATTCCGCTAAGAGTTCTAAAAATGATCTGGGTATTATTTGTCAGTTTCCATGTTTAGACAATGGTCGCATTCAGTAGAATATTGCACTGCTTGAGCAGTTGTCGACCTTGAAATTACCACATTTAGATCAAGATCTTTTATATGACTTTTAAATGTAATGTGTTTAAAGATTATCATGTAAACCCATCTTGTATGAACATTTATTTGTCTGTTAAAATAATTCAAATTCCTTAAATATTTTTATTTTGATAATGCTTTGCCGTCGAAATAAGTAAATAAATATGTACATCTCAAGGATTACGAAGTCAGTCTCAAACTAATCCTAATAATGTTATATTCTGATGGCACACAGTGGTCCAAAACAATGAAAAACTGAGAAAAAACTCAGATTTTATGTCGTTTATGCATTACAGCAGGCTTTCTTTTTTTTGATGACTGATTCAAATCCGCTGTTAGTTTATCTCGATAGGGCACTTGAAGGTTACTTCAAGGTCATATCAAGGATATTCACAAGAGAAAACTTGAGTCGAACTACACGTCATTTAGATATTACTGGTTGCTGAGTCCCAACCAGAGGTCAGTTAGTCACAATGAGCGCACTTAGAAGACAAATTCACTATAAGCAGCATTCTAGTCCAAACACATGTTGGATAGGTTCGAGGTTGAATCGTAATGAGTTATTACTTTTTCTCTAGGAAGGCATTTGAAGGTCAGTTTGAGGACTAATTCAAAAAATGGTGTCCAGTTGGCTCCTCTAAGGTAAAAGTTGAACATTTGTTCAAATAAAACACAAGTATTTCCAACGTATCTATTACAAATATAAACCAGATAGTTTAGTCATTCTTCCACCTATCCATCCACCCTCTTATCTGTGGCAGTTGAGTCATCTATCTATCCATTCCTCTCACCTGTGGCAGTTGTACTGTCCCTAAAAGTTTTAACATTAATGTTACTTATTCTGAAACTGCTAGGTAAAGTTTCAAACTAGGATGTAGGAAAAAAATATCATTATTAATGTTTCAGTTGCCTACGAAGGCTTATTAAAGTATATGTTTTTAAACCTCAGTAATGATTGTTTTGTATCCTAATGTCTTGAGTTAGTCCATTGTCATTTTAAAGATACAGGGAGGGCCATTAAGTTGAGCGGATTTTAAAAAAATCATAGATAAAACTACAAAGCATAGGAAAGATAATTTATATTTTTAATAAAGTAGACACATGGGATTTTTGTTTTTTAAATAACATTGAGGTGTGAGCCATCGAGACATACGCACTCCTCGAATCTCGACTGCAAATTCGTGAAAACTCGCTGGCACATGGCTCGTGGGATAGGCTCCTCGGAAATGTTGTACTGGAGCTGGGCAATCGTCTGGGCTCCGGGGAGGCCACGGAATGTCGCGATATCCGTTTTCCACTCAACATGTCGTTTACAACTTCTAAAGACTCGTTGGCGGTATGGGATGTCGCGCCATTTTGTTGAAATCAGGTCCAGCTATGGTAGGCTTCAAAACTATGCAGTTGTGTAAATAAAAAGTTACGTAGTATTGCCTGTGTAGCGATTAGAATTTACTATTTAATCCGTCTAATCTAATTTTATTATTATTAATTAGTCAATACTTGTTTCAAGTTATTTGGGTAAATATTAATAACTACAAATAATCAAATCCGAGAATTTTTATTACATTTGATCAACTGTTGATTATACGTCAACAAATTGAATGTAATGCTTGCCTTGTAAATCAAATAAATCTTGGAAGTTTTACTTAGGTAAATTTGTCTAATGAATCTCAATGTGCATTGTGTAAACCACTAGTAAATTCCTGAACGTAAACTCAAGCACTTGACTTGAGGGTAGCGGAGGATACGAAACTTGACAAAACATGACGACGCCAGTCCATCATGGCGAATGGTGAGACACGCGCACTATTGCCAACTCTTAATTAATGGATGTATATTTGTGACCCCCTAAATAGGAAGCAATTTCTCTAAATAATTTAGTCACATGTATATTTATTACCTAATATGGGCTGTGCCTTTATATAAAGGCGACAAATCCTTCCCACTAAAAAAGGAACAAAAAAGGTAATAGCTGATAAGCATGTATCAATTGGCTGTTCAGCGATTCTACAGTTTATCTGAAACCGATATTTTGTTGAGGAGACTTAGGTTTTCCGTTAAAAAATCCGCTATCGGAAATTGCCATTTTTTCAAAGGTAAGGATAAAAATAGTAATCTAGTTAACAATGGCAAATTTTATCACATCGCATCTTTATTATGATCTGTACTCGTATGCTCCAAATTTCTCATCACACAACACAATACAGATTTTCTCGAATATTGCTGCAAAAAAGTGGTGTCGAATGATTAACTTCAAGTTTGATAGTCTGCCATGGTGCAAGTAGCGTAAGCAAAGTTCTGTTTCCATGATCAACTGAGGTATTAACTTTAATGGGTAATGAAATTTATTCACATTTTTTGTTAAATTGTTCTTTGAGTTTTTGTCAGGTTTTCGTATATATGGACCACTTTGTGATGCGACCAGTACTTATGATATACAAGGTGGCTCAACGAAAAAGGTCGCATCCCAATTTGTGACTCTCCTGGCATATTTTGATAAAAACGCTCTGACACGTCAGTTTTGATTTCTAGGGGAACATCTTTTCATCTATAGCCGTACAATACAGGGTGATAAAAAAATAAGATATTGCGTAACACTTTAGATTTTTAAATGGAAACCCCTATTCTTCTTTAATTTTTAGATTCTCCATGAAGTTTTTAGAACTTTTTTTATTAAAGTTTATACCTATCTTCAATTGTTGTGAAGCTGTTTGAGTAAATTCGACTAACCTTAATACTGATAATGATGAAATGCATCGAACAAGATAATAATCACGGATACCAGCAAGAAAATTTAGCATCAGTCATTCAGTCAGTCAGTCAAAACTTTCATTTCAAATTGTTAAGTTGCCTACCTAGTTGTGATAAATTTTTAACAATGACTTATTCAGTTCAAGACAGGGTAGAAATAACAAAACTGTATTACCAAAGTGAAAGCACTGCAACAGCTACTGCCCTGTTGTATAATGCGTTACAAATTTCTAGAAACTGTCTAATCTTCGCCGTAATCGCTATCGAGAAAATCGACCAGTTAGAAATGAAACCGCAGAATTTTGAAAGACAATAAATTTCACCTGTACATACAAAACTTGCCCATAAGCTTAATGGAGACGATTTTGATTGAAGGTTGGAGTTTTGCGAATTAACGTCACAACTTTTCATCAACAATGCAAATCTGTTATTTAATATTTGTTTCTCGGATGACTGTACGTTCTATTTACATGGACATAGACATAATTGTCGATATTGGAAATTGGAGTGACTCGAATCCACAGTAGTTTCGAGAGATACGATCATGATAAAATAAATGTGTGGACCGGCATTTTCGTAAATCATATTCTTTGTTCCTGGGAACTTGACCGGCGAGACGTACTGGGACATATTAGAAAATACAATAGAGCTACGAATTACTGAGATAATAAAGAATGACTTTAATTATAATGAAAATTACATTCATTTGGAACAAGATGGTGCACCGCTGCACTATTTGACTCCAGTACGACAGTTTTAGGACACCCATTTCCCGAATCAGTGGATCGCAGATGAGGCCCCACCGAAGTCCGTTAGGTTACTCTTTTTGGGGGCATTTGAAAAGTAAAGTTTTCAGTACGAAGGCTGATTTCATTATATATCTTCGTCAGCGGATTGCATTTCATTTTGCGATAGCAAACAACATATCTGTTCCAGAAAATTGGAAGGTGAAAGAAATAGCTTCCAAGGATTGGTTATATGGATTTCTGAAGAGGCATCAAACTTTATCTGTCAGAACACCCGAAGCTACTAGTATGGGCAGAGCCACTGCGTTTAATCGCCATAATGTGTGGCAGTTTTTCAATAATCTTGGCAAGGTTTATGATAAATATAAATTCCAGCTTCAAGATGTCTATAATATGGACGAGACTGGACTTACCACGGTCCAAAGGCCCACAAAAATCATAGCAAAAAGGGGAACTAAGCAGGTAGGCGCTATCACTTCTGGAGAAAGGGGTCAACTTGTTACCTTGGCATTAGCGGTTAACGCAAATGGCAATTTCGTACCTCCATTCATAATATTTCCACGGAAAAAATTCAAGGATGTTATGGTAGCAAATGGGCCTCCTGGTTGTGTCGGTGCCTCCCATTCCTCTGGGTGGATGACATGTGAAAATTTTTTGTTGTTTATGAAACATTTTGTCCAATTTGTCCGCTGCAGCAAAGAGAAACCAGTTTTAATGGTCTTAGATAATCATGAATTACATTTATCTATCCCTGTGTTGAACTTTTGCAAAGTTAATGGAGTTGTTCTTTTAAGTTTCCCGCCCCACACATCTCACAAGCTGCAGCCCCTTGATCGCACTGTGTTTGGCCCACTTAAAAGATATTTCAATAGTGCTGCAGATGCATGGTTAAGATCTAATCCAGGTAAAGTAATGAACATCTATGATATACCTACCGTTCTAAGAGATTCATTTTCTCTTGCTGTTACGCCTCTTAATATACAAAAAGGATTAAAGGTGACTGGAATTTGGCCTTTCAACAGATATTTCAAGATGATGAATTCTTATCCTCAGAAGTAACAGACAGGCCAAAGCCAGAAAATATTAACACAGCAATGGAAATAAGTCCTGAACCAGAATTTAATAGGGAAAACCAAAGAACCCCACAACCTTCTACGAGTTCAGCTTGCAGCTTATCGTTAGATAAATATGTTGATTTACTATCTACTGGTACTCATATAACGCCCCGAGAATTAAAAACTTATCCAAAAGCCATGCCAAGAAAATCAAAAGTAGGTCGGAGGAAAAGAGTTTCCGCAATTTTGACAGACACTCCGATTAAATCTGCTTTAGAGGAGGAATAAAGGACAAGACAAAGAAAAAAAAATGTGGGAGCAACTAAAAGAAACGTATCAGGTGAATTAACAAGTGGGGCAAAGTCTAAATGTAAGAAACAGAGCGCTAAAAAGATCCTTAAAAAAATAGATTCTACAAGCTCAGAAGAGGATGAAGAATCGGCATGTCTGATATTATGTTTAACTCCATTTTCACATTCTAGAAATGAAGAGTGGATCCAGTGCATTGTCTGTAAAGGGTGGGCGCATGTAGGTTGTGGCAAAGATATCGATTTTTATGCTTGTATTCACTGCTTGTCCGATAGTGATTAGTTTAAATTTCCTTTAGGTTTTTGTTTTTACAAAAGTTTCATTTAATTTTTTTTATTTTACTTTATGTAATGTTCCGAATGTTTTTTGTGTTGCTAAATAAAGGTTCCTTCCAAGATCATTTATCAAAACTGTTTTTTGAAGTTTTTGAGTTTTTTTCTTGTTTCATCTTACCCCTTAGACTGTAACAATTTGCCCTACAGAGGGGCAAGTTGTTATAGTTTACAAAGTTACTTGAACTTATAATTACCAAGTACAAAAAATTAAAAAAATTATAAAATAAAATTGATAATACATGTACAGATATATGTGGTACCTTTCTCCAATTTTAGTTTTCATATAAAAGAACAACTTTTGCCTAAATAAATAACTATATTAATTTTGTAACAACTTGCCCCCTTCTCCCCTAAATGGACACCACTTTCATCACTTACCACATTGACTTACCTCTTTATAGCAAATTAATTATTACTTTAACTTTAGTGTAGTAAGTTGTTTTTTGTTTTTTTAATACTCGGAGACTTGTTTTTAATTTTAAAGTAGTCTTGTTACAATGAGAACTATATTGATTATTATTTTTCGGATATAATCCCTTATTATCGTAATTTCTAAAATTTTATTATAAACTGAAATAGCTTTACAACGATTAAAGATAAATAAATAATAAATCTTATTATACAAAATTTACTAAGCACTTCATGGAAAATCTAAAAATACAAAAAATGGGGGTTTCCATTTAAAAATCCAAAGTGTAACGCAGTATCTTTTTTTGGATCACCTTGTATTGTACGGCTGTAGATGAAAAGACGTCCCCGTTAGCCTCTTCCAGGTGCTTTTGAATTGAGAGTTGTATGAACCCGGCGTATGTCGCTCCAAACTGCTCTAGTAAATGCATGGGAACGCGACGATGAACAATTAACCTATTTTTTGATGTTTTTCTGTGACGTTGACAATTTGTAGCACACTGCCAAACAATAAACATGAAAACACATTTTGCCTTTATTACTTTATTTTCAGAACCATTGTCAGACTATCCAATAATGCTTTAAGAATGATGGCGCAATACGTCAGAGGTCTACATTTTTATTGTAAAGGTTCTGGAAAACGATGAGCAAACATAACCTAACAATCTTGGCACATTGTCATTTTGGTTATTCCCACTATTTCGAAGCGTATAACACCGAATAAAAAGCTGGTGCATGAGGGGGCAGGGGATTTAAAAGATGAGTAGGTCAGGTGCTTGACACTCTAGAGTACTGGAACGGTATTGGGTAGGTGGTGGGTAGCTCCGAGTTACTCCGAGCAACACAAATGAGGCACTGGAAAGCAGCTCTAGAAAACAAAATTGAAGTATCCGAGCGTCCCAAGTGTACCAGGAGAGTCACAAATAGGGGTGCGACTTTCCGTTGGGTCACACTGTATTTTATATTCTTCATTTTCATTTTGCAGGGATATTTAACGAACACAGCTCTCTACTATGGTTTCTATTCAAGCGCCTCAGTGAGCCGTTCTTTTTTGACATACAGCATGAAAGACGCTTATTTTATTTCAATGATTTTTATTTATCTGGGATGTTTATGTGTTTTTAGTTACAGGTTTGTTCTGTTTTCTTCCTTTTTTATAATTTGATGTTTATTTTCTATACACCGAGTTGTGAGGCTAACCTGCTTTTTTTATAAAACTGAACTTTATGACTGATAAAGAATAATGGAATAGATTAAAGCAAGGTTGCCTGGCAAAATTTAGCCGCAATTATTTGTAATTGAGTACAGAGTGAGTTTTTTTGTGAGGTTGGTCGATAATTCTGTTATTGCGCATAGTGTCTAAAAAAGTGAATTACAGAAATTGTAGCAAGCAGTATGCTCCTTACGAAGAAAATATTTTTATCTCTACAAGCCGATTCATAATTATGCGGTGACCCAATGCATTTGTTAATGGAAAGCATTACGTAGAGGCTGATTGCTTGATTGATGCAGATTTACTTTGACCCGCCAGAAACCTTTAGAAGACCTATATGTTCGAAAAAAAAATACTGAATACACATAGTATACCCAGTGTGACATTAGAAGTGTTACACCCAGAAAAAATAATTTCTTCAACTTATTTTTTGGCAACACAATGACTATATTTAAAGGATGCTGTGGTAACAATGTCAACGTTATACTATATCTTTGTATTTGTTTACCTTTATTAAAATGTTATTTATTCGTTTTTGTGAAGAAGGCATTTTCTGAGAGCCGAGTAGTACAGATATTTTTAGTTACTGCCCTTTCATTTACTAGTGTTATGAATTACAAAATGCTTCGAGTTCGAACACCTCCAAATTATCACCATGTTAGCGACTTTGACTGGGGTAGAATTATTGCGTATGGAGGTGTTGGTTTGTCCTTTTGCGAAATTGGCCACCAAGTCAATTGTACTGCAATGACGGCAATACGTGAGTGCCTTTTGTGGATAGAAGATGGTAGAGGAATACGAATAAGGCCCACTGGTCCACCAAGGCGTACCACAGAGCATCAAGATAGGTGCTTCAGACAACAAGCCCTACAAGACCGTTTTGCTACTACGCGTCAGATCGCTGACCAATATGGTTTGCTAATCCGCGAAGTTCGAGTTGCTTGGAATGAAGTGTCACAACCAGACATCGCTCATCTCATTTTGTAGATGCCTAGACGTATACAGCTGCGTAGTCGCCCAACACATTTTTTTTCTTATTACTTGGCAATAAAATTTCGTGAGAATGTTATCGTTTCATTCTTGATGTAAGTCTACCTCATTGTCAAAAAATCAAATTGAAGTAACTATTTTTTCTGGGTGTAACACTTCTTATGTCACTGAGTATAATTTTGACTGTCTAACTGAACTTTTTGTGTTATTTTCAGTGTGGCAAAATCGTATAGAAAAAATCTCATAGAAACGGAAGGCGGCTTCAAAAACGTATATGCTCACAAAGTTTTTTGTGGTTGGGATTATAGTATAGCTACAAAAGATGCTGCACGTTTGAAACAGCGTGCAATTTATAATGAGTTGAAGGTAAGAGTTGTGAAAACACATTTCAAATCACCTTTTTGTTTTGACTGTTGTATTTTATAGGAACTCTTGTATGGTGCAGTGCACAAAAGGCACGAGCATAGCTGCCTACATAAGTTTTTGACAATAAGCATGCAGATTTCAATGCATATTTTGATATTGTTCTCTCTTATTGGAACTGGATCTCTTGCCTGGCTGCTTATGTCAAAAACAGCTGCTGAAGTTGTATGTCCTGTCATTACCCCTGTTGTGATTAACCTCATAATGACTTCTGCTCCTATTTTCTTCAGTACTATGATCAAGTGAGTATTAATAAAGCTCCATAAAACTAATAAGATTTAATTCTCCCTCGCGTGGTGCTATCTAGTGTGTACTCTTCACAGTACACGTCGCTTTCATGTGAACGTTCTTGTTCAACTATAACCTAAGTCTCGCCAGCACGCCTGAGCAAACCAATAGTGGAGATCGAGCCCATCGTACGCTTTACCCACAACACTATTGTTTCAAAAATAAAGGTTACATGCCACCTACCAGCAGTTGTTGTAGAGTTATTGTTATATGTATTTTTACTTCCTATGCCAACTGGCGATGAGATTTATGTTCTTCTGACGTTCATCACGAAAATCCTAGTCACTTATTCCCATTAGTATGTCTGTCAGCTATAACATGGCCCATTTATAATATGGAAGTACCGGTGATACTTTGATGAAATTTCGACACAAAGTTACTAGTGTGCCAATAACGAACAAGCTAGATTTTGAAAATTAATTCACTAGCGGCGGAGCTACGGACAAAAATGACTTGAACAAAAATTACAATTTCCTCACAATCCTCGGTATATATTTAAGCCGAGATTTTTTTTTGTCCTGTCAAGCCACTCAAATGACATTTTACATGCTTACGCGTACACGCGATTTTAGCCAGGCGATAGAGCGTGCAGTTTGGGTGTCTCGTAGATGGTTAAATAATAATTATCACAATTTTTGAGTCTATTTGGAGGTAACGCAAATGCAAGTGAGTAGAAAATACAGGGTGGCCCAACAAAAAGGTCGCACCCCCATTTGTGTCCCTCCTGGACACGTCAGTTTTGATTTCTATGAGATGTCTTTTAATCTAGAGCCGTACAATACAAGGTAATCCAAAAATAAGATATCGCGTTACACTTTAGATTTTTAAATGTAAACCCATTTTTTTAATTTTTAGATTCTCAATGAGGGTTTTAGTAATTTTTGTATAATAATGTTTATACCTATTTTCAGTGGTTGTGAAGCTATTGGAATTTATAATAAAATTCGACTAAATTAAGTTAATACTGATAATAATGGAATGCACGGCAAAAAATAATAATCATGGATACCAGCAAAAACATTTAGCGCCAGTCAGTGTCATCGTATGTCATAGAAAAACCTATTTCATTTCAAACTGTTGAGTTACCTACCTAGTTGTGATAAATATTGAACAATGACTTATCCAATTCAAGACAGGGTAGAAATAACAAAACGTTATTACCAAAATGGGAGCAAATTGCAAGAGCTACTGCCCGGTTGTTTAATGCGTTACATCCAAACCAAAATATTAACGATAAGTATGTGGCTAAGTTGATAAGAAAATTTGAAGAAACTGGATTTGGGTTTAATATTCGCCGTAATCGCCAACGAGAAAATCGATCAGTTAGAAATGAAGCCGCAGAAATAGCAGTTTTGGGACACGTAGCACTTGACTACACCCAAAGCACTCGTGGACCGGCTTCGTATTCAGGAATTAGACGCTCAACAGTACAAAGAATTTTGAAAGAAAGATTTCGCTCGAACAACGTATCAACGCAAATCTGTTATTTACTACTTGTCGGATAAGTGTACCTTCTATTTACATGGTGCTGTAAATAGACATAATTGTTGATATTAGAGTTTCTCGAATCTGCATTTGTTTCGAGTACACTCGCAATACCCTGAAAAAATAAATGTGTGTTCCGACATTTTTGGAAATCATATTTTAGGACCTCTTCATTCCCGGAAACTTGACGGGCGAGACGTACTTGAATATGTTAGAAAAAACAATACAGCCACGAATTACCGAAATAATAGAAAATGAAGTTAATTATAATGAAAATTACATTCATTTAAAACAAGATGGTGCACCGCTGCACTATGTGGCTCCAGTACGACAGTTTTTCTACACCCATTTCCCGAATCAGTGGATCGGCAGACGAAGCCTCATCAAGTGGCCGCCGAGAACTCCGGACCAAGCCCTTTAGATTACTCTTTTTGGGGGCATTTGAAAAGTAATGTTTTTAGGACGAAGACAGATTCCATTCAAGATCTTCGTCAGCGGATTACGGCTAAATGTAGACAAATAACTCAAGACATGCTTGATGCTGGCAAATGTGAGGAATAGATTCGAACAAAATCTTTATTATTGAGGTAAATGGACACCAATTTCATCACTTATTACCATATTGATCTACCTAGTTATAACAAATTAATTTTTACTTCGGCTTTGATGTGCGTGTAACATGTAAGTTGTTTTTTTTAAGACTTGGAGACTTCTTTTTAATTTTAAAGTAAAGTCTTGGTAGATTACCAGCAACCCCTTTGGTTGGTTGAGAACAACCACAGTATCTATATTTCCGTTGAGATGGCCCAGCCTGTAAATGCCCTCCAAAAACTATCTTATGTCTGCATCGTTAGTAACATTTTGGGTAAAACACTGATAGCTCAAACAATTATATCTTGATCTCTTGTCACCTGTAAGGTAAAAAATTTCAAGGTAGAAAACCAGACATGTATTTCTTCCCGGCAAAGGTACTACCGTAATCTGAGCCCACAATACATGATGGATTATTGATGGTGACAGGTGTAGCTCCCACTCCGTACCACTGACGCAAAAGCTCATCTGTATCAGTATTACTCTTAGATTGTATATTTGATGCGAGAGCAGTAAGATTTATCTCTTTACACAATTGCCATAGTTTCCCCGCAACCTGCTTCAGACGTGGAAACTAGAAGCTCTTCATTCTATTCATGTAGGATGGGGTATAATATGCGACAGCCCATCAATTCGGTAGCCAAGCATTCACCACAGAAGAAAACTACCAGTGCTTCTTGATGATTGGCATGTGGGATTTTCTTCTCAGGGGACTAAAAACTAGAGACTTTTCCCTGGCCAACGAATGTTCCCTGTCCGAGAAATTATATAACTAAAAATTGGATAATTCAATACCTCTGACCGCATCTGCCAGTTTCGTTGAGCCCCAGCCGAGGTAGACCTTAAGTTATATTATGTTATTGGCATAGTAGCGTTAAAATTGTTTCGGAATCTGTCTTGGTTGCTGCCCATTATTGCCCTTACTGGGTTTGGTAATGTCTGCATCGTCCGCTCAAGTAAAGTTACTTTCTTTCTGTCACAATTCTGAATCTGAAATATATTCTATGACTATCCCTAACGGATACCAAAATCTCTGCATATTCCAAATACAGATTCGTTAAGAAAGTGTCTCTACGGAGAAGTCTGATCTCACTTCAATAATCTAGTCTTAAGGGTTCTATCCCTATAAACAGACAAAGTGTCTCGAGGTAAGGAATCAAACGAATTGACCCATCAGACTTGTGGGCAAGAAAAGGATTGATAGGTGCTGATTTTTAGTTAGCTCAACTTTTTTATTGATAGCACCACAGCTAAGCAATTGAGAGACTGTCGAAGGTCGGTAGTTCATACATGGACTAATAAGATTCAGCTATGACAAAGTCGCCATCTCAATGGCAAGTGACCACTTGAGTCCAACTCAGGACTTTAGCGCCACTCCTAAAGCTCTGCCATTGATGATGAATACGCGCTGATGTCCATGCTGATCTACACACCTCATCTGCAATAATGGGTTGATGTCGCCTGACCGGTTGGCCTTCAGTTGCTTCTCGGTTTATCTTACTTGGTCAGACCTACACCGAAGAACAAGATATCAATGGAAGCCTCTGTGAGATTACTCCTGAGTTCTGTGCTTTAATGTGAATATCTGCCAGCATGCGCTCCTCTCCCTACTTTGAACCTGGGGGATAGAGTATTGCTACTTGCAGTTAATGAACAGCTCACATGTTGCTGTACACAGATCAAGCACGCATCTCTGCGTGCGACAATTTTATCGAAACAGACTACATGGCCTTTAAGACAACACAATCCCCTGCCGTTCGAGTGCCACCTATGCAAAGTGTAACGCTAATCGGGCATAATGATACTTAACTTCCGTTATTACTGAACATTAGAACTTTGGTGGTTTTCCTAACCGATGACGTTCATACGTACAGTCCTGTTCCATAGTTATCACCAGTGCCAACTGTTTCGTAACCTGTCATGTGCATCTTATTGACCTGTTCGATGGCTATTCCAAACCATATGGAATTGGCTATCACAAACAAAATGTACCCATAGTCTCACATAGATAAAACCTAATCTCTATCTGTTATTAACGAAAAAGGGTACTTTAGTGGTTTCCTAAACTGTCATGTGCATTCTGGCAAAGATGTTCCAAGGTTATCACAAACCAGATGAAATTTGCTGTCACAGGCAAAATGTAACGCTAACCTCGCATATGGTGCCTATTCTTTATCTGGTGATAAGAAAAAGATATACGTTGGCAGTTTTATAACCTGTCTTGTTCATAATTACACACCGGTTCCATGGTTATCACAAACCATGTAGAATTTGCTATCACAAGCAAAATGTAACGCTAGTCTCGCATAGATGTGCCTAATCTCTGTCGTTCATTAATAAAAAATGGTACTTCGGCTTACTACAGTATTGTTCCATAGTTGTCACAAACCAGATGAAATTTGCTATCCCAAGCAAAATGTACCGATACACTCACGTAGATGTACCCAATTTTTATCTGTTATAAATGAAGAATGCTATATTGCTACATTGTTATCACAAACCAGATGGAATTTGCTATCCCAAGCAAAATGAACCGCTAGTCTCTCATATTATACACAATTTGTATCTGTTATAAATGAAAAATGCTATATCGCTACATTGCTATCACAAACCAGATGGAATTTGCTATCTTAAAGAAAATTTAATGATAGTCTCGCATACATGAACCTAATCCCTATTTGTTATTAATGAAAAATGGTACTTCGTCGGTTTCTTAAGCTGTTTTGCGCAATCTTATTATGCTGTTCCAAGGTTATCACAAACCAGATGGAATTTGCCGTCACAAGCAAAATGCAACGCTAACCTCGCATAAGATACCGAACCTCTACCTGGTAATGAAGAAAAATATATCTTAACGACTTCCTAACCAGCCCATGTT